ATCAATTGAAGTGCTAAATAACAATGGGAAGATACCAAGTAAACTTTAAACCTATTGTTATGAAATCAGTTAGTTATGAATGATGAAGCTTAGCTATAGTTGAACTGAAACAGTTATCATTGGACAATGGTCATATTATATCATGTATTGATTAAAAATTTTTTTTTAAAACGTAAAACGATTCAGGGGTCTAATCATTAAGTACATAGTTTTATATGTGAAAATGTTGCAGCTAATCTCTAATAGAATTGTTATTGAGAACTATAATGGTTCACATGCTAAAACTAATGTGGTCTACTTGAATATCTGGGCTATCTGTTTCTACCATTCCAATATTTCAACAAGTTATTTGTTTTCTTGTTTGATTGAACACATCATTATGCTTATTAATCGTATAACCTATTCATCAAGTGCGTTTCAAAAAAAAGTATACAACCTTTCATTGTAACAAAATAATAAAGTGCCCAATCAGTAACATCGTAATTGCTGGCAATATGCACCGAAACGAATGTACATTGTTTGGTGTACTCGACTGTTAACATCTAACTAACGATCACTTAATGTTTATCGTCAGGATTGACTAAGAAGTAACAAATGGGAATTTTTTACTGAGAATTATTCTACCTTATACCAGAAATATAATACAGAATAAAGCTAATAATAATCCTAAATTATCTCTCTAACACAAAAAAGAAAACATTCAATTAGGTCAATAATTACATGTCAATTATCCAGTAACTCTTGTGATTCACTTGACAATAAATTATTTAAACATGAGGTTGACAATAATTGTTTTCTTTTTATATAATGAACAGAATATATTCAATCAATATATCATTATGTCAAAGAGTAAAGTTTGTGTTATATTATACAACTTTATTTATCATTTCCTTGTTTTCAATTACTAATCTTTTAGCTACTAAATTAAGTAATAGTTATTTTTTAATAATTGAATTCATGAGTTAATTGAAGCTAGATCACCATGGAAAACCTAGAAGCACTCAATGGCCATTTCGTCCTATTATGAGACTCCTCAGCAGTGCGAATCCATCATCCTGCCTCGCAAGATTCAAAGTCAGAACCTATCGATCATATAAATAACATCACTAATTACTGATCATTATGATAAAAAAAACCTAGAATCGATACATGAAGAAGTGAAGTATCTTAGCATTTCATCTAAATAAATCGATCAATTTTAAATTCTGTTCACAATGGAACCCTGAATCATAATGATGAGTTATGGATGTTGTTCAAAAGATGTTTATTGCCTTATTTTTCAACAGAATTTACTTAATTCAAGGTCACAGTTTATTGATTTTTCATGTGGAACACAAAGGAATTTTGGCACACACACACACGCATACATGCACACAACTGTATATGTATATACGAACAAATAGGAAGAGAGAATATAAAAATAAATTATGGAATGAAATTTCCTGTAAGGTGTAGTTTATTGGTTTTATTCTTTTAGGTTACAAAATTTGCATTCGTCATGTTATCACAGAATGTGTGTAGCAAAAACATGTGATTGCAAGATAATGTGTAAACACATCCACAGTGTAATAACACAAAAATAATAATGATAATAGTTCAAACTAATCCAAAAAATAGTAGAAACTCTAAAATATTCGAGCGTGATTCTATACATGTCGGTTTGTGTGCATAGATGCGAGAGATATCTCTAGATTTTTAGGCCAATAATTTGAACTACTTAATAACAATTTAGTAGATCAATTATATTCATATATTTTTTGAATGCAATTGAATAATAACGTTAAGTGAAATAATAATAAGCCGTGACCAGTGGAGCTAATCCGTGTCGGGTAGAAACAGGTGTCTACCTCAATACAATGGGAGATGGCCAGGCGATTTCATGGATTGGTCGAGGTTAGACATTAACACCATTGGATAACGGCTGGCTCAGTGGTCCAGTAGGTTAAGCGTTCGAGCGCGAGACTGAAGGCCCTGAGTTCGATTCCCGTGAGCGGGATCGTGGATGCGCACTGTTGAGGAGTCCCACAATAGGACGGAACGGCTGTCCAGTGCTTCCAGGTGGTCTAACATCAATCAGTTCATGATCTCAATAAAAACAGTCTCCACAACCCCTAAACTGATAATAATAAGAAAGTTGGAGGAGAACGACCCAAAGATATAAACTATATGTAAGAATTTATGTATTATATTAACTAGTCCATAAATTCATGCATCTTAAAACAATCTAATAACTCACAATTATTCAATAGATATGTTAATAGTTGAATTCACGAGTTGATTTATGTTAGACTATGCTAGACTGCCGTTTTCAATAGTGGTCTAGCTTAGATCGATCCATGAATTTAACTACTAAAATTACTAAAATCTCCACAAACTCCCATTTTGATAAAAATAGATAACTGTAAATATATCTCTAACGATATTCATCTCAGTACAATTAAGCAAGGAATTCACTATTTTAACCAAGTGAATTAAATAATTTGGTTAAAGTCAGTTATCAAGTGACATTTTCTAGGTTGTCATAATTAACTGAGCTAACTCTGGACAAAATTCTATTCTGAGAGTACTAATCTAGTTCATAAATTTATATAATACAATGAGAGAAAAAATTGATCTGAAAAATTACTGACAGTATTAGTAGATTATATTTGAAAACAATATGATCAAATCCACTTGGTAGTGTTTACTTGAATCTTTCGATTGATGTTTGGGATCGCAATTGATCAATTTCTTATTGGCATATGTGTGTATTATCTCGATATTGTCTTAATTCATAGGCATCCTAACAAAAGATAAACACAGTAGCTAAGTGGATAACGAGATGGTGTTTGAAGTGAACGGTACTGCGTCCGAGTCCCGGAATGAACATCAACTCTGAGAATCAGGTATATCCGGCTGACGAGTCTCAAAATGGACGAAATTCGCGTCAAACTGGATCCCATTGCTAACCACTATCTATCTTTGTTTATAATGTTTGTGAATTAAGGCAATATCGAGGCAATCCGTAGAGTATGCACGTATGTCAATAAGAGACTGATCAATTGCAGTCTAAAACATCAATGGGAGATCGCAGTAAATAATACCAAGTGAATTTAAACTTCACTCCAATGTACAAGCAAGTCGCTATTATGATTCAATGGCTAAGTGTATAACGCGATGTTGTTTGAAGCAAACAGTACTGAGTTCACTATTCATTTTTAAATTATATATAAGTTTAGTTCATTCAAAAGATTTTATCACTAATGTTTCATTTGATTTGGAATTCGCCGAGAGTACTGATCCTTATTTTCATTAAAAGATTTCCGCAAAACATTAACTTCCACATGTTCATTGTTCCTTTTTACTAGATTTGTGTCATGCTTCAAACTAACCATTCTTTAACATTCTTCAGATACTGATTCCAGACTGATATTAGAATCTTGTTCGATTCTCGCTGAACTCCGTGTTCTGATATCTGCATCTACTGCAGATTGTAAACCACAGACAAAAATAAGGCATTTAAACTGATATGACGACATTTCCTGTAAACGGAATCGCTCAAATTCCCGGTTCCCGATGCTTGCGTACGTCATATAATCGTCCAGTGGTTTTTTCACAAGCTGGAGGCATTGGTATCTAGTGTGAAAAACAGATGATCGTTGACCAAATATACGTGTCAGGCACTCCACCATTTCTCTGAAGGTTATGTCGGTTCGCTTCATTGGGAGGATAAATTACAGAACTTTTCATGCTCAGACACTCCGAGCTTGCGTAATAATAATCTGAGTTTCGAACCTTAGTCCCACTCTTTACAATCAATAATAAACAAATCCTCATGGCGTTTAAACCATGCCTCAAAAGTAATTCCACATTCTGGATCAAATCTAAATTCATTTATTGAATTTGCAATAGAATCCGGAGTCATAGTGGAATTAGATACATTGGCCCTTGGGGATAGTGACATACTTTTGACCAATAATTCGACAAGAGAATTTTGCTGTTGCCATAAAGTTTTCAGATCATCGATTTTATTGTTATAAAATCCACTTCAACTGAATATATAAGCGTAGATCCGTTGTAACCGTCGTCGCCAATTGTTATAACTAGTGGTTTGTACCTTTGGTTCTTTGTTTTTACCCCGTCGCCAATTGTTATAACGTTCGGTTTTAATCCGTCTAATGTTATAAGGGTTGGGTTTCCACGTATGGGACGTTAATTTACCTTAGACGAATATCTCCACTAGATTCCCTTCAATTGTCTATTCTTTCTACAGGACTTTAACACAACTCAGACGATAAAGAACATGTGATTAGCCTGACTAGAACGTAAATATATTTCCACACCGAAAACGGACACAATCCAATAACGATGAACAATCAATAATAAGTGAGTCACAATAATAATAAGGATAGAGGAATATGTAACTCATCTGACACCTATCAAACTATCTGCATGTTTGACTAAGCAGACAACCAATGATTATCATCCTCGGCTACACATCAGATAGTAACTCCCTTAAGACAATAATGGACGGTGGCGCATTTTCATGAATTATTTAAGATTAGACATCAAGACCATTGGATGCCGGTGGTCTAGAAGTTAAGCGTTCGCATGCGAGCCTGATATGTCTTGGTTTCGAATCTCTAGGAGGGCGGGACAGTGGATGCTCGCTGCTGAGAAGTCCTATACTAGGATGAGACAGTCATCCAGTGCTTCCAGGTTTTCCATAGTGGTCTAGCTTCAGTCCACTCATGAATTCAATTATTATAATGAATAAACATTATGTGCTAATTCCTTCAACAAACAAAATATATAATATAATCAATGAAAGATTCGTTGTAGAAACATTTCTGCTTTATTAACCGATAATGTAAACTGTTAATACTGATCTCGTCTTACTTCTTATTAATTGTGTACGGGGTATAAATAATAATAAAAAAAATACAATTTTTCATACGTTTTCCATCAGTTATTTATTATTCTGTTAATATAGTTTTTTTTCATTTTTCTTTTTATAGAATATGTCATCAACTCATTCGAATAGATCTACACCAATATCAAGAACACCTATCACCGTCACCAACACCGGCATCACCACCACCACCACCACAACAACAACAACAACACCTTACTCTTATCAACATCTTAACTATTTAGATAAAGAATCATTAGCTGCAACTAAAATTCAAGCTGGTTATCGTGGTTATTGTACACGTAAAAAATATGGTAATTTATCATTGAATTCTTCTTCACCATCATCAAATTATAATGTAACATCTAATAGACAATTATATACAACACATCAATCACCATTAAGAAATAATAATGATTTAGAGAATGCCGCCACACGAATACAAGCTAGTTATCGTGGTTATTTAACTAGAAAATCATTACGTGATGATAATATTACACAGAAATATACACCAATTAAAAATGTTTCTTATCATCATGATAAAATTAATAGAATTAATGGAAATGAAAACGATGATATTGATGGGAAAGTGAAAGCAGTCACTAAAATTCAAGCTGGTTATCGTGGTTATAAAACAAGAAAATCATTAGCCCCATTATTACATTCTCAACAAAATTTATTATTATCAAATAAAGAAAATCAAAATTATTTAGAATATAAATGTATCAATCAAGATAAACCTAATAATAATAATAATAATCATCATCATTTACATGATTTATATAATCCTGAATTAGCTGCCATTAAAATACAAGCAACCTATCGTGGTTATAGAACTAGACGACAATTACCTAAATAAATTATCATATAAAAAAAATAATTCAAATTTAATGCATACTATATTATAATGTGTATTTCACTAATCATTGAACAATCTCTCACTTGTCATTTACACCTTTTTGGGATCATGAATATTCTCATGAATTCAAGTCATGGATCTTTTTTAAATCGTAAACAATATTTGCATGCTTATTTGACTATCAATTTGCTTCTTCTTCTTCTTCTTCTTCTTCTTCTTCTTTTTATGTCATGTTTTACTAATTCTATATTGAAAAAAGAAGGATGATATTGTTAATTGACAATGGGATAAAATATTGTATACAATGATTAATTCTTATAAAAATAATAATTATTTTGCCCAATTAAACATCCTATAGTACTGTATACTTCCATTATCAAATGGATCAACTTATTTATTTAGTTATTCATTTAGTTGAAATATATAATCAAAAGTCACACAATATTATGATAGTTTCATTCAGCTTGTAATAATGTTTGTTTCTTTCTTTCTTTTTTATATTTGGGGATTGTTGTTGTTGTTGTTTTGTTTTAATAAATACAATAATGATGATGATGATGATGTGAATAACATCATAAATGTTTTAAATTAATTTCTCTTACTTAATTCAATCATAAATATTTATGTACTTAAATGAATGTAAGTAAAAAGAAAAATGTAACTCATTATTTATACACAATTTAATGTAATTGAGATTGAGTTTATGAAACAGAAATAAATGAAATAAGTAATGAACTTGGGACTTATTGAAGTTTGACAAGAATTCTTTAATAAGACTGAATATTTCGTCGTCGGAATACTTGTAGAAAACATCAGTCAGTTAGTCAACTACACCCGACCGTTATTCCTACCTTGACGTGGTGGTCGAGCTTGCCTATCGTGATGAAGCAATCGAGCTATACTGACTGGAACAACAGTTCCTCAACGTCCTACCGCATCAGAAAGGTCGGTTGAAGAGCGGTAAGACTAAAAGCAACAAACTGAAGGTCCGAAGGCGAAGTCGTACTGTTGACTGTGCAGAGGTGTGACAGCAGTAGGGTGTTTCCTTCAGACAACCAGCATGACAACGATGCCGCCTTCCCACAAGGAGGGGTGTGGTTAAAAAAGGTCGACCCTAAAAGTGCACACCTCACTTTATCCCATGAATATCCGTTTCCGACCGTAAGGTCTCAACAAGTACGGAGTTAACACGAAATTACTCATAAAAAGGTGTGTGACCGACCACAAGTAGTTATTTCTCGGGCACTGCGGTCACGCTCTCAGGTCACTAAGACCACCTCCAATGCAACTTCCTTTCCAGGTACCTCCAGAACAACCCTTCCACGGTGTGAGCAACCGGGAAGTGGGTATACTGGCGCAGCGAACAGATTATGGTGATCGTCTGCTGCAACTGCTCAGACAATCGTTTATTTTTAGCAAACGCAAATTTTAAGCATAAGGAGAGACATCGTCTAACATGGAGACGCCCTACACCAAACCAACGATGGATTCAAATAGACCATATTGCCATCAGTCATCGTTGGAGAGGGTCGGTAGAAGATTGTCGCTCATTCTGGAGTACCTGATTGGACTCCGAACATGCCCTAATACGGGCACGCATCTGCTTGCGCCTCACTGGACGCAAAAAAGCCATATTAAAAAGACCCATTAGAACTGAGTTGAGTAACGAGAAAACCGAAAGTAGGTTCCAGGAACAACTGAGGTCACGATTAGGTAGTTCTGAAAACGAGGCTGACCCAGATGTTGCTTGGAAAGATATACAAGCAGCTGTGGAAACAGCAGTGACATCTATTAGTGACTTAAACCACAGAGTTGCAAGGAACCAGTGGATTTCTTCAAGGTCTATTGCATTGATAGATTCTCGTAAACTCATCCCATCAGGCTCTGAACACGATGAAGAGCAACAACAAATCAGATCTAGGTTAAGAAAAAGTCTAAGAAACGACCGTGAGCAGTGGTGGGCAACGAAAGCAAAAAAGATGGAAAAGGCGGCGACTATAGGGAACACAAGACAGCTTTACAGACTGATAAAAGAAACTGGAATTAATAAGTCAAGTGTAAGTGAGATTATATTGGAAAAAGACGATACTCTCATCTGCTCCCAGTCCAGACGTTTAGAACGATGGGCGAAACATTTCAGAGAACAGTTCAACTGGCCTTCAGCTACTCTACAACTACCCTCCATTCCCAGACAGTGTGAATAGAACATTGAAGTAGGTCCCCCAGCTCTCGCTGAAGTTCAAAAGGCTATAGCTAATCTGAAACGAGGAAGGGCACCTGGTCTAGATGGATTGGCTCCAGAGGTCTTTAAGGATGGTAGTCCAATTTTAGCGATTAGGTTGATTAATATTTTAGCTGAAATCTGGGAGTTAGACGTTATCCCATCTAACTGGTCACAATCACTTATCGTCCCAATATATAAGAAAGGGTCAAAATCATCCTGTGACAACCACAGAGGGATTAGTTTAATTAATATGGCATCTAAAATACTAGTCTCAATAATTATCGGACGCTTAACTACGACTCGTGAACTGCAAACACGTGAGAATCAAGCTGACTTCAAACGGTGTTAATGTCCAACTTCAATCAATCCACAATCTTGTGCAACCCTTCATACATTGCACGCGGTGAATAACTGTCTAAAACCCGAATTAAAACGACCTACACTGTTCACGGTTTCTAACCATAACTCTAGAAGTTATATCTTGTAGCTAGTCTCTAGTGAGAACCTAATTATGATTAGTAAGGCATATTTATCGTAGTATTTTCACGGTTGAAATTACAAGCAGTCCCATGCTAGGAAGAAACAGCTGTCAAATACTTTCACGTTTTCCATAGTGATCTAGTTAAGATCAGTTCGTGATTTCAACTGCAAAAGTATTTGACTATCAAATTACATATTATTAGTTTTGAACACATTCTGGTATATTTTTATTATCATCTATATCATAAACAACATGAACGTACAAATTATTTTTTGTATACCATATGTCAGATTTGCTTACGATTTATCTTGTACATTATCAAATCATTAAAATACACTTAAAGTTCAGTTGGTCTAAACCTCACAAACATACTTTCTATCATTTTAGTACAGTTGTATAACTTATCAAAAACAGTGTTTTTAATTCAATACATATAAAGTAGATTATTACTAACTGATGTGAATAATATGTTTGTTGAAAACTGGAAGTTAAGATAAAAAGTGTTATATAATCACATCTAAAAGTGGAACAAAGCAATGTAAGAACTGTGCAAATACTTTAACCTAAAGGGAAATAGTTGGAAAAGAATATAATATAGTCGAATTTTACTATTTAATATGGTGAACTACATTTCATAGTTCATCGATTATGAGAATATCACGTTAATTCATTAGGAAGAATGAAAACACTTCAATAAAGAAAACTTTCTTCTTGACAACAACATTTTCAATAGTTGAGATCATCAGTCAATTGAAACTAGACCAACATGGAAAACCTGGGAGCACTGGACGGGAGTTTCATTCCAGTATGGGACTCCCCAGCAGTGCGCATCCACGATCCCGCCCCCCGCGAGATTCGAACCCAGGAGTCCTATAATAGGACGAAATGGCCGTCCAGTGCTTCCAGGTTGGTCTAGCTTCAATTGACTCATGATTTCAACTATTGAAATTTCTAAAATCTCCACAAAACCCCTTCTGATAATAACATTTTCTCATGTTTATAGATAATTATACGATATCAATGCTTGAGATGTTGGTGGATGATTTTGATGGAGCTTTGTTCTCTGAGCTGGATGGTTTAGTCGTGGATCTTTCATCGTTCATCTGAATGACTTCAGGTAGACGTTTGCGCTAATGATATCAATTCATTTAAATAAGTTTGACTACTTTTTAACCATTTTAAAAAACTTCTCGGCGAGATTAATCCATGGACTAGCCAATCAGAAGTGTCTTATAGATTTCAAGGTTACGGTGCCAACTTCAGTGCTTAATGCTAACGAATTTTGTGCAAAACGTGATAATTGAACGGCTATAAAAAATAAAACGGTGGGACTATAATTTGTGAACGAATAAGTCAGGTATAAGATAATAGATCTCGGATTTTAACGCGAAAGCCTTTCATCCTTTTGGTTAAATAAACTCCTGGCGTTATGGCTGATGTGAGTTCGTGATGAAAACCACATATATAATTCCTAACTAAGGCAAATTATGACAACTATCGCGAAGTGGATAATAAAAGCACCAGTAACATTGGATGCAGTCAGGTACTACAATATATTCGGATGTTTGGAGAGCGTACAAATCCCTACATAGGCTTGGTTATGTGCATCGTCTCGTTATCCACAAGTGGCATTTTGTGTATTCGACAGCCGAAGTACATATAAACAATAGTGAAACCATGTGGTCCAGGCTGAAAGAGTTTTTGAGACTTTATCATGGCTCCAGAAGCCGACTATTCTGTAGCCGTATGGATGAATTCCTCTACTGCATGTTTTACATTTTACAACCTCGGAACCTCTTTCTAAGCTTGACAAGTTTTTGAACCACGTAAAAGAAGTGTATCCATTTTATTTCTTTGGTTTTGTATAATATATTTTTACTCTACACTGATTGTTTGCTGATTGATTGGCTAATATCTCTGAAGATCGCTTGGGATTCGTTAAAAGGTCGTCCATAAATTAGAGTCTCGCCAACTTTTCTATTTTACTATAGAAAATGATATTTAAGTAATTACCCATTAAAAAAATACGATTGTACTGCTTTAGAAATTGATGTCGTCAAGAAGTTAAAGATTCGTGTAAATCTATTTCATAATAATCAATATATACTTTAGAATCATAGCATACAAGGATGTGAGGAAGACTAGTTCTATAATTGTACACAAGTGTACACTGATAGTCGAGTCAAAGCCCATGAAGAACTATTATATAAATTAAAAACATCTTTAGAATTTTCTCCTTTAACTAATTCTATCAAGAAACACTCATTAAAATGAACTCCTTCATGACTAACAAATGTAGGAGATATTCGTAGGCTCATAGCTGACTTTAAAACATTGATCAAGTATGTAATAAACACTAATCGAGCAATAACGGCTTAACAAAGGCTACTAGGTAACAATGGGAAGTCAGTTGATGAAACCGAGATGGTGAGATCATATATGTATGTTCCACATCCACCGACTTCGACGGGAATAGTCTCTGACAGTTAGGGGTATTCAAATCAAGAAGCAATATTAGTCCATGAAGTCATTGAATATTGAAC